GCCACAGCCGAAAGATGGCTGTGGGTTCAACTTTGTGCCTTCGTAGGTTTTCTCTGGGTGATTCAGTTTCTTGCCACAGTCCTAAGATATGTGTGTTCAGTTAAGTGACGATCCTGCAAGATAGATGAAGTACTGCATAAATTTGGATTGCAGTGTAAAGTGCTCTAAGCATTCTAAAAAGATGATTTTCCAGTTTTCAACAAATCCCATAATCATGTTTTTTTTTCTACATAAATAGTTTAAGAGATAATTTTGGTCACAAGTTGTATCAATATGTTAGAGTAAAACTTTAGATTTGTTAGAATTTGGAGAAGACAAGAATTATATCGAGAAGTACTCCACCTACAGGTCAACTGTGAGCTCACCTTTATCCTGTTAGATGCATTAGAATAAATCTATAGGTTTCAGGTCAGTTCAAAGAAATATTTTGCCCAGTTTCTAGTACTTTCTAACAGTTTTAAGATATTTGCTTCTGCCATGGAAAGAGTAGGAAATGGCAGGTAGCTCTTGAGCTCACTGGGGAACAAGTGCACAAATAACTTTATATCCAGTGTGCTTTACTGAGCTGACAACTCTTTTCAGAAACTCTCCAAATCCTTTAGGTTTCTTGGCTGCTGCTTGGCAACTCAAAGCTTTAGCTCCTGTTATGACCCAGGTCATTGTTGCCGTGTGGTGCTGTTACTCGCCACACCATGCGGGGGCATTGTTTGTACTCTGTGATGTTTGTTATGTAAGTTTCCAGGTGGAGGCTGACCATTGGTGGAAGAGGGAATGAGGCCAGCTACAAATTGGGACCTGACTGGGCCGGCAGTGTCTCCTACCAATCTGGACATGGTAGCTGTAGGGGTGGGAAGCCGTTTCTTTTACAACCTTTTTCTCCTGTTTCGGGTAGGGAAACGGGTTTTGAGGTTTGTATTTTCTTTTGGGGTTGATTCACTATAGGTAAGTTCTGATTCATTTCCAGTGTGTTTTGTTTGTTGTTTTGGCCATGCCCACCCTGACGCTCGCTACCTGTCAAGTTAATAAAACGACTAGTCATTGTAAAGCTGTGGCTGTGTGATTTACTTCTTTTTATTATTTTTCTTGTGTTGCACTCCAGCCCCCCCAGGCCGGTGTGTAACACTCCCTCCACAGATTTCCTATAGGACTCAGGTCTGGAGACTGGCCAGGCCACTCCATGGACTTGATGTGTTTCTTCTTTAGCCACTCCTTTCTTGACCTGGCAGTGTGTTTTGTGACATTGTCATCCATGACTCATCTTCAGAGTTCTGACTAAAATGAAGGAGGTTGTCATCCATGATAACACAGTGAATGGCCATGTTAACTGGCTCCTCGGTGTGGTGAAGTCATCCTCTAACTTAAGCAAAACAAACACCTCCATGCTTGACTGTAGAGATGATGTTCATTGGTTCATACTCAGCAATTCTGAATAATCACACCAACAGGTTTTATCTTCTCACCAAGGTTCTTCTCACCTTTGTCCCCGATATCCCTGTTTTTTTTCTTGCCCATGATGGTTGAGAGGCTGGAATGGAAATAACTGATTCTGTGTACAGTTGTGTATTATACGAAGAATGATGAATTGATTGATTGCAATCTTTGTGCCTGATAGGCATACAGCCAATCTGTGACAGCCAAAACGCCGGCTGGGTTATAAGGGATCAAATGCTTATTTGACTCAGTGACATCGAAATCTGTTTTTCCAGTCTGATGTAAGAGAAGAATAGAAATTGAGGTACTAGTGTGTTGCTGGCCATGTGCAGACTAAAGTGTCTAGATGGCACAGGTAACCGCCATTACACCCACATAATTAATTATCGATATAGTCCCAGTAGTTTGTATGTTATATCTTGTCAATATACAGGTGAGTGTTTTTAAATTTCGACTAACAAATTGAAGGTTTTGACAGCACTACTGATTAACGCTCATAGTTGACTACTTGGAAAATGCTGAGACAAATTGAAACATGACTTTAATTCATTCCATGTGAAGACTCAATAACAGTGAAAATGAACTGAGTCACTTCCTCTGAAATGTGACATCATAAAAACAAGTAGATGCACTGCCTTCGGTTGTCACTGTCTGTTGTGTGCTGCTTTCCTGGGAAAAGGGCTTTTTCTATGCCCCAATCTGCAGTAAATACCAGGAAATACATGCAGCCAGTAATGGCACTCATGCTCTGCAGTAAATTAATGTGGTTCAGAGGTTACGTAAATGTTTTATATACTTGGAGATGCTGTTGACCGATTTGTCAGTGACACACGTGTGGGCAGTGTATGCTACTGCTGCTGCTTTAAAATGCTAATGGTGGTGCCAGTGTTGTAAACAGGGCTATAAGCAGCAGAGAGAAGAAGGCTGTTTTGTGGTGTGGTTACCATTTTGGAGTCAACCCTCAATCCAGGAGTGTGAATCACATTCTTAATTAGAGAACGTAATCTAAACCACGTGTAAATAATTAGCCTTCGGGGTAGCAGGGCTGTTCTGATGTATATGAGTCTGTATTTTACATCCCATAAGTTGTCTGAAACAGTCCAACAGACAAGTCCACGCAGACTGAAAGGGTAATTAATAAGTGAAGACATAAACACGCACACACAAGAAGAAGTACTGCCTCTTTACTGATGCATTGTCTCATAAGTGTTGTTTTTGAAAGGCAAGCAGCTGTTTTAAGTAAAAAGCCTTCAATGTCTCCCCATCCATTCATTATACATGCACCTCACATCTGCCAAGCACCGAGCAGCAGATGGACAAAGTTAGCAACCATGTTGTGAACATAATGGAACATTTAGCCTTTAAATAGCTAATTATTTCCATTAGGAGCTGATGAGAACTTAAACCTACATAGAAGGGAAAAGTGGAAATTGATCTTTGGCTCATCAGGTAGAGACATAAAAGTAACCTTTCTATACTTTTCTATCTTATTGAGGGTCAGAGACTAAATGGACACCACTGAATCTATTTATCCATTGTTTTACATGCTAACTGCTGCTGTTCGGGGTCACAGGGGGCTAAAGCCTATCCCAGCTGTCACTGGGCAACAGCTGGGATACACCCTGGAAATGTGGCTATTCTATCAAGGGGCGTGACCACACATGATTTTCTTTCACAATCCTGGCCTTGGTTGTCTCTTTTGAACTTTCACTGAGCAATCCAACATGCTAGCAAGTTATGGTCAGCGACACCAAAATCCAGAGCCATAAAATAGCTCATTTACCAAAGCGCCCCTCTCTTAACATCATTAAATTCCTTCGCAGAAACAATACAGGGTTGGAAGCTTAAAGCAAACCGTGGCAGAAGCTAAGAGAAACTGATATCAAGCATGTGAGGTCTTAAATATTTTCAAGCGTGTGTGTGTGTGTGTGTGTGGTTTAAACTTCCTTTCAAAGATAACCCAAGAGAAACAAACATCACAATCAACAGCAAAAAAGTGATTAATGACTGTGACTGCTCCAAGAGTGCATCAGGTCCATGTTATTTTCTTTGAAGACTACAGCTTTTCCAGCAGTTGAAATAATTTGTATTTTTATCGTAAAGCCAATACTGGATACATTTGAAAGACTTTTGTCTCTAAATACAAATAACATTATTTTTTTAAAAAGGGCTTCCAACAATAAAACACAAAGCTTTTTCACTTTGAATGCTTTTCAAAGTGACATCTAGCCAATCAGTCCCTCAGGGAACAACAGTCTGATTAAGATGAAGTTTTCTCTTTTGCTCTTTTTTGTTTTTATTCTGCTTAAAGGACCTGAGCACACTGATGCCACTGATGAGTTGTTTTTTGTTGGGTTGTTTGATGAAGGACTAAAGACATTCCAGGAAGCATAATTCTTGAATAAGGAGATCTCCTTTTGTGCCAAGACATGTGGCTTGGACTACGCTCCCCTCCTAATTTGCAATCCCTCTTTGTTCCTTGCTCTGTCTCCTGCCTCTGCGTCTCCTATTAAGACTCATCCTCTGATTATTTGCCTTCTTTGATACTGTACTGTGTGTTGTCATCACATAGCAGCAAAATTGTGCAGGATACAAGCGGGCAAGAACCTGCATGCATGCAGTATTTTCTATGTAAACCAAGTGTTTTCTGGTCTGAAGACTCGGGACAAGAGAAAAAAGCGAGTCTACTCCCTTGTTCATGATAAGAAGGCAGTCTAGTCTCGTGTTTATTATTTCACACTGTGCAGTCGCCGTTAGGGCCGAAAGATTTGCATTCATCTTTAATCGATATATCAGGAAAAAATCACTTTCACTGGAACTATTTGTTCTGACTGAAAGTATTTACTTTTACACTTCCAAGAATGTTATTAGCACTTTTTTTCATTCAGGACCTTCGCAGTGTTATTGTGAGCTCTGGTTCATCTAATTTCCCTTCAGTAAATTAGAAGCAGTTGTTACTCCCCAGTGCTAGCCGAGCATGAGCAGAGATTTTTCTTGTATCAGTGAAAGTAATACCAAAGCAAAGCACAGGTGGCTCTCAGACGTTCCCATGATTCCACATTCTCTCTCCAAGAATGAAAATATCAACTGTTAGCATGTGCCAACCTCTAAGGGAGTGTTAAACCTCAATCAGAGGACTGAAGTGTTCGTTTCATTTTATTCCTAAAAGTTAATTCTGTTTATCTAGGCATAGGGTTTTCAGTAGGAGAAACATTTAATCACGTCACTTATCTGCGTGACTTTTTCCAGTCTCAGCTGATCAACGGTCATGACAATTTGCATATTAATGATCGAGAAACGGACTTCCTTGTGTTTTCCTTACCTGGATAATTGAGCATGTATCAAGACATTGTACTTTATTCTTTACAGGGTACCCATGTATCTGTCCAAATAATGGTAAGATTTTTCACATGCAATTAAAAAGTTAAACCACATGCACAGGAATGCAGTACTCTGGTGAGTGTTGTTTGACATTTTGACAATTAACTGATAAGACTGTATAAACAAGTGTGTCTGTGTGTCCTACAAACAGCAGCACTGCTTTCTTCTGTCACCAATGCTACGCTGATCCCTGCTCCTCGACCATCTGCTCCAAAAAGCCAAAAGGTTTGGATTTTCTGCAGCGGTCTGTGATGGTTGGGAGATGCCGCGGCTCTTGGTGCTCTGCGTGTTTGTAGCCATCTTCAGCTACGTTTCTGTTTCTATAGAGGTTTGCACCAGCTCCTTGATACCAGGAGCTAAAGGTAACGCACTGTGGCGCTGTTGTAAATGTGTGTGTTTGCATTTTGACTGGATGTCAGCTTGATTTGTAAATGTTTATCTTTGCATAATGAAGTCTAAAATGTTTTCAACCTAAAATCAACAGTACTCATGTACTTTGTACTCATGTTTGTTCGTGATGTTGGAAACATTGTTGTGTCCCAACGTTACAGGAGAGTGTTAGAGTGTGAGAGTGCAACGTTCTGAGGAAATACCCCCTAAATGTTTTATAGTTTAAAGAGCTGATGATAAAGCCACCAAGCATTAAATGTTCTAAAGTTTACTAGCTCACTGTCTGCTACCCCGCGGTCTTTTGGAGGGAATGCCTCCCTGTGTGTGTTTTCCATTTTATGACATCCAGTGGCTTGCTCCCCTGCTGATTGAGACAGACAGACCCTAATAAAACACAAAGTGAAGCTATGCTTTTTTTCTCTCTTTTTTGCGCACTGTGCTGGAAAAAAACGAGAGAAAAAAAACGGCCTTTATTGTAAATGGAAGCCAGAGGCCCGTCTCTCAAGGAGCTGGCATGCAGAAACTGAGATTGTTAAGCTAAAAGGCAAAAAAATTTAAAAGATTCTCTCATTGTGACGAAGGCCATTTATTAAATTGTTGAAGTTTTATAATTTAATTTAATTTATTTTAGTTTTTTAGTTATTTATTTTATCTTATCTCATTTTAATTTTCTTTACTTATGCTTTTAGCATGTACAGCACTTTGTGAACTCTGGTTTTATGTTAAAGTGCTTTATAAATAAAGGTGGTATGGTATGGTATGATATGGTATATCCAAAACAAAGTCTGTTTTACAAAAGCAGCTTCTGAAATAAAGTTAAATTATGTTTGTGATGGGCAAAGGGAAGAGGCGTCTGTACCATCAGTTACACTTTCACAGCTTTCCAGAGAAGTTTCCCATTGTTCCATCGTGATATTGTGTATTTAGACAGCTGCCACAAACGCGAACAGATTATTTGTACAAGACTCATCCAGATACTACTCACCACAGAGGCAGTCTCTTGAGTTTGTGTAGACTCACATCTGTGTATTTCGGTGGGTGACAGATGCGCATTTTTCCCAGTTTTAGACCCCTCAAAAATGTCTTACGACTTATTTTAACCTTTTTCAACAAACACAGTTTTATTACATTTACTGGTATGTTGACTTCATCATTCTTATATAGATTTACGGGAATTTTTTTTTTTTTTTTTTTTAGACGTAAAAAAGTGGGACGCTGCAGGCCCAGTTCTTGAAATTGAACGACAATAAACACCGAATTCTGACATTTTTGGGGAAATAACCTATCTTATTGCTACTGCGACATGTTAAATAGCAGATGAAAGATCTTCATTTGATTTGACACCTTAATCACACAAACCAGGCCTTTTGCTAATTTTATGCTACATGGTTTCAGTTTAGTAGTCCACAAAATTAAATAGTTACGCAGACTGTATCACTTGACCGTGCAGTGATTTAGCTTGAAAATGTCTACACAGCCGACCGAGCTGAATTATCAGTTTTCCTAAGTACTTCTGCCAGCCTAATAGAAGCAGACTCTAAGCAGAGTCCTTCTTTCTAAGCCCAGCATTTAACAAGATATAAACTGCTGCCTGCATCAACAACTGAGGCGAAATTACTGTTTTAATAGACATTCAGAAATCTCTTAAGATTTCATGCCAAGAGCCTTTTGATCCATGGTCCCGCCTCAAACATTTCTGCTACACCTCATTTGTGCTTTCAGCTCTAAAAAGGACTTTGTGCCATTAATACTTTTAAAGCACCGATGTCTCTAAAAATTATACTGGCTCGCCGAAGACTTATTAAAACAGAGTTATTTCTTCTTTATAAACATCCAAAGAGGATTCAGTCCATCTCCTTGTGATGATTAGAAACACTCTGCCACACTTACATTAAAACTTAAACACAATCATTCACCAAAGCTCTTTGCTGAAGTGGTTTCTGACGTGCTGTTAGTGCTGATAATGGATCGCCACATTGATGGCCTTTTTGTTTACAATCTTTCTTTTCTAAAATCCAGGGGACCAAGGTGGGATTGGAGATGATGGAGATCAGGGGAAACTGGGGAAGAATGGACCACCAGGACTTCCAGGTATCCAGTATCCTTCTAGTCAAAAATGGCTAAGCTGTAGGACAAAAACACGTAGACCCCGGTAATGTGTACACTCACAAAACATGAAAGACATTTAGAAAGAAAAAAAAAGGATTCATACAACTTTTTGTCCACGAGCGCAGTCCTCATTGAGCCAGTAAATAAACTGATGTGTAAAATCAGTGGGGTTCCCCTTTACCACCAGTATAACCCAAATAAAATCTAATTTGCTTTTCTATCAGAGTGCGGTTTAGGATGGTGTAACAGGCAAGCATCAGTATAATCACAATGACTCTACATCTGCCTTAATGGCACTCAGACACTCAGTTAACAGGTGCAGGCGACTGCTCCCTTCCTGATATTTTCATTGTAGCTGCTCCCCATTCATCTGGTAAGTGTGCACACAGAGGCAAATGGAGCTGACTGCAGTACTTTTTAGTCATACGCTTGCTAACAAATACAAAAATGTGACTCTTATACTTAGTACAATTTTCCAAGTCTAATAAACGTGACACAATGCTCTTTGAAAAAAATTCCATTTGTATTTAAAACCTCTAAAAAAAATCTAATTGTCAGGTTTTCAAATCACATACTGTAAAATAGTTTTTCCAAACTCACTTCTCAGAATTCTTTTTTTTTTATTATTTTTGAATAGATGTAAATACAAGAAAACCCCCAGCTTCTTCATTAGCATGTTTCCTTTAGGTATTGCAGTGGGGTAGAACAGCTGAAGGTTAAAAAGAAGAGAAAAAGTGATGAGTGCCATAAGTGTACATCTATATAATCACACCTAGGAAATAAAAAAATTAAGTCTGGCTTGACCAGTCTCTTTTTTAAAAAAGTTAATTTTCCTTGCTTGTCTAATATGAACAAACATAGCTAGTAACAAAACCACCTAGTGTGCAGCTTTTGCATTTCCCTGCTGTTGCAGCTTGCCTCCCTTTGCTGTGGTGTGAGCTGCACTGTGCCACAGACAAACAGCACTGCACTGACATGACATCTGTATATTTGTGGAGGAAGCAGATCTGTAAATTGCTGCTGAAGAAAGCAGGGGTTTTCACAAGGTTTTTTTTTCCAGCTGAGCTGATAGGCATACACACAAATACCTGCTCACACATGCTTAAAAACAAAAATGCATGCAATGCAGCATCCTGCACATGCCAGAGAGTACAAGACAACAGACACAGTTCACACGTGTGTAAATATAAATGCAATAAATATAGTGTCATGATCGTTTGTGTGCACACACCCAGCTTTTATTCTATAACGTCTCACAGAGCTCAGCAGACATGTGCACGCTGCACACTAAAAACACCCTTCTTTTATCAGTGTGTGTGGGAGACGAATGCCAGGGCCGCTGGGGTCATTTTCAAAAGTGCAGAAAGCACGTGCACGTGAAACTCTTTCAACTTTTCAACTTTGCGGATATTATTCAACGATATAGAAAAGCCAGTCATTATGGTTTCTATGTGTGTATGCTTACTGTAGGCATGAAAGCAGGTTTCTGTGATGATTCTGTAACTGTAGTATGTCAGCAGCCTGACAGATGACGCATGTATTCCCTGTTTTAATTTAGGCAGTTTTACAGGAAACAGTTGCTTAATTTTGGAATGTTAAATGGGAATATGTGACTGCTAATGCTCCTGTGGGCAACAAAAACAGTTTGTTGCTCCAACAAACAACAAACTGTTGTGCTGGACTTGTACATTTTTTAGCTTGAATCGAAACTATAACTGAGGTTGAAATCTTTGCATTATAGACCAAAAAAGGTGGAAGAGCATGTCCAGTGCAAGGTTTTTAGAGCCAGTATCAACAGACAGTTTAAATACAGTATGTCTATAACCTAGTGAGGCGTTACGAGTCTCTGGTTCGTGTATGCTGCACAGGGTGCCAGACAAGCCATGAGATGAGACACATCTATTTTTCCATTATGTATTGGCTGATATATCGCTCTGGCTCAAAACTATGGTGTTATGTGAGGATCTTAGATCTTGTGCACTTTTAGGTAGCTAGAAGTGCACAACAGAACAACCTTATTTTCATGTTCCATCTCTCTATTAATCTCTACTAAACAGAAATGTCAAAAATGAGACTCCACTTCTGCAACTGTGCAAGCAACATTTAGTCAATACACTGATTTAAGATCATTTTAGAAACCAAACGCATTTTATTTTTGTTGTATTATGGCAACAGCTAGTTGCTTAGTTCAAGGGTGTTTTGAAATAGCTGAAGGCTTTATTTAAATTGCCTTAGGCCCCAAGGCTTCGCCTCCTTTATCCTCCAGCAGCTGGAGATTCCAGACGTTAAACCAGTTGGGGTGGTTGGCCATTAAAAGTGATAGGAAGGACCGTTATCTGAACGTTGAGATAGGCCGTTTAACTGGCAAGCGTAAGCACTGCTAAAACATTATTCACCTGTTGCAGATGGAATAACAAAAGACCACCAGATTAACTTTCTTCGTGTGGCAACAAAACAAACACGTATAATCACTTCTTGTCGTCACTTGTCACTTCAGTGTTGTTGAAGCATTCACTTTGTGAGTGTGCTTCTCGGGCGCTTTCATGCAGAATTTTCCTAATTTAAAAGAAAAAAATAAATAAAAATCGCACCCTTGTATGAGCAAATTTTTCCCAGCGACCTCACACAATCCATAAGAACTCATGCCTTCTGCCAACACTTCTCACAAATCACCGAGTCGAAAATCAACATGCGCAAGCGGGACATGTGAAATATTAGTGAATAGCTGGCTGTACGTGTGTGTGTGGCAAATCCCTCTAATAGTGGCAGGCTTCTCCAATGCGTCACTTAGTATTTCGAACGCCATCAATTTTCAGTTGAATAGTTTCCTGAGGAAACACTCATTCAGGGGCTGGCAGAGAGCCTCGGTCTGCTAGTTTTCCCATGCGCATACACACACACACACACACACACAGCCTTTTAGTTTAATGTTCGCCATTTAGGATACATTTTTAAGGCACCCTCCAAAATCATGCACACTCCTGAGTTCTTCTAAAGACAAACAAAACAGTAAGCCAGGCAGTGGTAATCAGATTACAGTGTACTTCAATCCATTACAATCACTTTGTTTTTTAGATTAAAAAAATAAAACGTATTAATACATGATTAAATAAATAACAGTAAAAATGACACTAGAAATACATGCATTTAACAGACAGTGGATCCGACAGCAGTTTTTGCAGGGAGAGTCCTTAAAAGATTGAATGGCGTGGAATAGAGTTGCACAGATTATACAAAAGAAACTAAAATATAATGATACTAACACAAAAAGAAATTGATTATTATTAAAAGCGTAAATTAACACCATAATAATAACTGATTTTTCCAGTTTATGCTGACTTCGACCACATTTACAATATGTGAAGTTCCAACATGCACACATCCTCTACTTTTCTGGCATATGCAGACTATGTTGGACTGAAACAGCATTTTCAACACTTTTTCCAAATAATATTTCTTTATTCTGTCGCAAATACCTCCAAATCTCATCCTTCCTTTCTCCCGCAGGAGTGCCGGGGGAGTCGGGCCTTAAAGGAGAATTGGGCCACACAGGAAAGATTGGGCCTACTGGAGACAGAGGTACAACAAAGTCATTTTAATCTAAAGTTCAGGTTTGATATGCAGTTTAACACAGTTTCCTGCCAGTCTCAGTGCTTCTCTAGTCCTGCCTCCTATCTGTCCATCCATCTGCCTGAAACCATACTGTAAAACCTTACTATTGCATTACTCATTCAAGTGTAATATTTACAATAAAATAATAAATAACTAAGAACTAATAAAGTGCATCAGGGGGTAATACTTAGTTCCTCAGTTTCCAAAAGCGAGAAAGATTAATGACCTTTCATTTTTCATTCGAGTGTATAAATTTGTTCTCGCTCCAGTGCCATTAAACATTTTGATAGGTAGCTGTGAGATTTCTGCAGACGCTTAATGACTTTCAAATTGTCTTTAAGAAAAAATACGGCCTCCCGGATGCCCTCCTGAGATTTCACTGCCGCTCGCTCCCTAACAATGGTCTCAACTAAAACCCACATAACTACACTAACTGGCAGACTTAATTAGTCCCAAGACAAACACACAAGGAGAGTTTTTAAAAATTAAATCTGCTCATTATTGAGCTAACTAGACAGTTTCCACTAAAGGCTTGTATTTTTGTCTGTTTCTTTCACGTTTTAAGTTATCGCATCAAAAGATCCTCCAACATGATGTCATGCAGTTGCTCTGCCTGAAGTGGCTAAAGTGGCAGTTTCCATTGTAGTTTTTGTTTTTATGAGCAGTCATGTTCCCCTGTCTTTCTAGACATTCAGTTTCTCAGTATTCATTATGATTAATACGCTATTAGGAAAGTGGCTGTGTGTAAGCTATATCAGGCAAAGGAGTGAAGTCACAGCTTTGGATTTCATTGATGCTGAAAGCCCAAAACTCATAAAACACCTGAATAAAAACACTTGTTTTCAGGAACATGCCAACATAACAAGATCACAAGCTCAAATTCAGTTCGTGTTTGCAAGAATGTTGGCCGTGATACAGGAGCACTGAAGAAATTCAGTTCAGTTTCCACATGGGCAATTGGTGTTCATTCATAATATAAAAACATGATAAATGAACAGACATCGCTTTTATAATTGTAACTCCATGTATATGGATTCTTATCAGATTGTCTGCAGAGCTTACATCGTTTTTGGCCAAAAGAACAACTATATAAATCTACAGACTGTAAAACTGTGGAGTTACTGAGTTTATATGGAACAAAAAAGGCAACTAACTGCAGCTGGAGGACTGTTTGGGATGAATTCTACTGTATACTCCACTGAGACACTGGAAAGCCGTATCAGGTCACATTTTACCATATTTACCCACTGTGTTTTTCCGTATTTTTTGCAAAGGAGCTCAAACAAGCTCAAATAAATCAAATCCATCAGTATGGCAAAACAACTGGTCAGATTACAGGTACAGTATTTCACTGTTCTGGCTGTTCCTCATTCAAAGCTAGGCCATTGTGATGTTTGTACTGCAACCCACTTCCCCAAAATTTGCAACTGCCATTTGGGTTATTTTCCACAATGAAACAACAGTGTGAGTGCAAATTCAGGACAAGATTTACACACAAACAGTAACATTTGATGATATCTCTCAATTAAAAATATATGTGGATGTTACTGTTATTTGGTATAAATTATCTTGTTGGAATAATTAATTGTGACCTAATGTTGGTCAAACTTTGACCATCTAGAAAGGTAAATAAATGGTAAATGGTCTGTATTTGTATAGCGCTTTACTTGGTCCTAAGGACCCCAAAGCGCTTTACACTATACGCAATCATCCACCCATTCACACACACATTCACACACTGGTGATGGCAAGCTACAAAGGCATGCGGCCCTGTTGAGTTTTCAATGTGTGATACAGCCATCTGGTGGTAGAACGTTGTAACTACATGACAAGGTCAACAGGAAGCTTCTACGAGGTTGAAATACAGCTAACAACAAAGGGTGCTATTAATGATTTTTGATTCTTCTGCAGGTGACAAGGGTGATAAAGGTGTAGATGGACCAGCTGGTTTAAAAGGGAAACCAGGTAACAGCATGCAGACACTGCCTCTCGTTTTAAGTCATACAGCCAAAACTAAAAAAGCTTTTTGCATGAGTCCTGTGAAAAACTAAGTACATTCCTACTGATCCCAGAGGAATTATTAGAGTAAAAAGAGCTAGGTGCTGCTAATCAAAATGCACTTGATTAACTGGTCATCACTTTTAACACTGATGTCAGTTTGCTGGTCTGGAGCGCTCAGATGTTTGGTAACACAATGACACCCAGTGGAAGTCAGAGCAAATTCACCCCAGTGTCACACCATGCAATTCTCAGAGACACTGAGCTACATCTCAGCCTCTACAGGTCTTGGTTAGCATGTTAAATGTTAAAGTTCATGATAGTATAATCACAAAAGACTGAACAGGTATGGTTGTTTCGGAAGGATTGTCAGGAGAATGTCTCTTCTCTCTAAGCTGCATCTAAACAAATCACAAAACTCGAGCACTGTCCTTTGGATGGACCAGCCCAAAGTGGAGATGTTTAGAGCATATCAGCACAAACACTCATACCAGCTATCAAGCACAGTGATGATTCGGATTTGTTTTACAGCCACACGACCACGGCACCTTGCTGTCATTGAACTCATGCCTATGCCAAAGTATTCTGGAGTCAAATGTGAGGCCATCTGTCTGACAGCTAAAGTTTAGCCAAAAATGGGACAGTGATCTCAGGCACAGCACCAAAAATATCTATCAGGATGGCTAAAAAAAGAACAGAACCAAGGTTCAATGGTCAAAGACCAGACCTCATCTGGGTTGGAATACTGTGGCAGGACCTGAAGAGAGTTGTATGTAAATGAATACCCCGCCTACACAGTGAAAAAGAGTGGGCCAGAATTCCTCCACAGCCATGTGAGAGATGATCAAGTCATGCAGTAACTCCAAGTTATTGCTGCTGAAAGTGGTTGTGCAAAATACTGAATCACTGGAAATGAATCAGTAACTTGTTGTGGGTCAAATGATAAAGTCTTACTCATGCAGTCAAACAACCTTGAAAAAGAATGCTGCAGTATTTACTTAAACTGTCATGGTATGGGCCGTTAGACCCAGTGTTTTGTGTTTAATATTAGTATTTTCTTATGTTTTGGGTTAGTTCTTGTTTTCTTAGTTCCTAGGATTTGGGGTCTTGTGTTTAGTGTTGTGTTATAACCTGTGTCCTCCTCCGGTGCTCTGTTTGTGTCTCTGTGTTGGTAAAACAGTCTGTAAATTTCCTGTTTTACTTTGAAGGTCTGTGGCTCATCTTGCTCATTAGTTTCAGCTGTTTTCCTGTCATTTCCTGATTACTGTGCATGTGTATTTGTCGGTTCGTCTGTGTTGGTTATTATTTCAGATCTCCTCATTAGTGTTCCCAGTTTAGGTTTTTAGTAATTTCTCGTGCCTCGTTTCCTGTTTTTCACGTTGTAAATAAACGCTTACCTGCATCTAGCCGTCTCCTGAATATTGGGTCCTTTTTCTACAAACACCACACGACTGATACCCCGGCCGTGACGAAAACTTTTAGCACACCCATAAGTGGATTTGATCTGGGAAACGGAGTTCAATAAACAACATTTAAACACATTATTAATGAATTCCTTCAAATTCCTTTCTGGGAAAAAAAAACAAGTATTTGTTTGTGACTCTCAATCAGTTCTACTAGATGCTAATGGAGATTGTCCCTAAGAGAGCAATGCTGTAGAAAAGCATTTAATGATCCTTATTACAATCACTAGTCCTTGTACCAAGAAGCAGGTTCCACATTTGCCTAATTTTCTGACATCTTCTGACATTCAGACAAATATTCATCCGAGCTGTCCTAACCCCATTTGATCTATTAGGTACAATGTGTGACTGTGGGAGGTACAGGAAGGTGGTTGGACAGCTCGATATCAATGTAGGCAAGCTGGGGAATGCAGTCAAGTTTGTGAAGAACGGTAAGTTGCTATGTTTTCAATCTTTTACTAGACACTAGACGATGTCTTACCTTTAAAATTTAATAGAAGGAACTGAGACAGGTTTCTGTGTGAAAGAGCTTGTATCAAGTCTGGCCTCAAAACACCAAATCCTTTCTTCATTCAAGACTTACATTACACACTAGTCCCTTCATGTCTGTGCATCATCCTGCCACTTGACTTCTAATTTGGTTTCTGTGTTAAGAAGAAAAAATCAGAACAATGAAAACATGCCTTTAAACTTATGTCAGATGACCTTTAACCTTTGCACATGTCCTGTTCAGTGGTTCTAGGCTTGAGAGAAACAGAAGAGAGGTACTACCTGCTGGTGAAGGAGCCCAAGAGGTTTAGAGAGGCTTCAATGAACTGCAAGCTCAGAGGAGGCAACCTGGCCATGCCTAAAAGCACCAACATCAACCGTCTCATGGCAGACTATGTTAGTCAGGCAGGACTGACAAGAGTGTATATAGGAGTGCAGACTCAAACCAAGGGCATGGTAAGTGGTTTTGATAATATTAACTAGGTAGTAATTAGTAAGTCTAATGCTTTTTTGATACTTTTAATGTGGAAAAATAAAAGACGGTTGTGTAAAGTGTAAGAAGGACATATTTTAGGCTGTTGTGGGCAGTGTTGGTCAAAAACAGAACAAAATTAGTTAACAAATGATGACAAACTGTTGTTGTTGTTTTTAATCTCTTCTCTATTTTCTAAAATCAGGACGGGAGCAGTCACGTTTATGCAGACTCCACCCCTCTGCAGGGTTTTGCATCTTGGAGCCAAGAGGAGGAGCTACAGCCCAACACAAACTCCAGCTGCGTGGAGCTGCTCAGCACTGGAACGTGGGCTCACGTGGAGTGTGAAGCCACCATGTTTTTCATCTGTGAGTTCCCGAAGAGCAGGAGAAGAAGAGGAGGAAGAGAGGCAGTTGCCTCGTCATCATCTTGACCTTGACCACTCACTGCACATGTCAAGACAAGGATCAGACTCCTGAAAAAAACATTTATATTTCACATTTCCTGCAAATATGCAGACAATTTCAGTGATTGAGACTACTGTGTTTGCATATTTCACTAAGAACCATTACCACCAACAAATCAGTAAAATTGTTCTAAAATTAACTAAAATTGGGTTTCTTATTTTAATTTTTCTTTTACAGTTGTAGTGGCTTTCACTATCTGAGAAAATATGGGGCTCACTTTTACTGCAGTTTTTACCAATTCTGTGGCACTGCATCGGTATCATTGAAGGCTGCGACTGTACTGAAAAATTTATATCAGGGTTCAAGAGGTTGGTTTAAGCAATTAGATTAGAGTAAAATGGTCTTGTGCTTAAGCACACAGGATTATCGTGCTATTTCACACAGAGTTACTCACAACTCCAAAGTAAATTAAAGTTTACTAAACGTCTATAAGAGATTTACAACTGCTGTACCCTGATGCTCAATTACAAGTGTCCAGAAGTACAAAGAATCTACAAAGAAAAACTGAGTAAGAAAACATGATTAGCAAGGAATGTAACCTTGAGTGTTCTGAAATATGTATTTATTGGTGCATAAGGGAAATTGAAATAGACAAAGGAAATAAAGGGACAAAGTATATAAAAGGTTTCAGATTATATTGTTCTTATTTAGGATGTCCCTTATATATTCTGATGATATTTCGTGGCATGTGAAACAGTGTAAAGTATTTGTAAGCGATCCAAAAATAATAATTGGTTAATTAAAAATCTAATAGCTTGTGTTGCTCTGACAGAAATACTGAAGATCTATGAACATTTATTTTTGAAAATGTGCCATTATGCTGCTTTTTCTGGGTAAAGGCTAACAATGAAAAACTTGTGATACAGCCTTATCATAAAACAGTCGTCTTCAAAATCTTTGAACTGCATCTTCATGAATGCAATTCCATATTACTCTGTTAGATAAATCTATTACTTTGTTCTGATACACGGAGGTTATGATATATGCCAGTGTATTTGAGAGGTAGCCAAGAGGGTTTGTTTTCTTTTTGCTGGTCAGCGTGGATAGAGTTCAACCACAAGTGGTACTAGAAATGGAGCAAACTAAAACCTGAAACTAACCCACATGAACAGAGGGCAAGTGGAAGTGGGTGGATCAAACTGACCTGGCAGATGATGGATTCTGTGGTAGCGGGGAGCTGAATAGTGCTGGATACGGGGACTGTGCTGAGATCTCGGGTAAAACCAGCAAATGAAAGGATCTTTAGTGGAACTGAATTACCATGTTTTTGTGAGAATCAAGGTCCAGTGGATCTTAGGAGTTTATCCGCTTGATTTAGCCTACTGATTCCCCAATGTCAACATCCCTCCATCAGACAATTATTTCAGACATTTTAGTTGATTTCACTATAAAAGAACAAAGAAGAAGAATAAAACACCACACATACAAACACGCATATATTTTAAAAATATCCCAGTAATTACAAAACAAATGAAAAAAATAGTTCCAGTGTTTCCAAAAGCAGGAGAAATATCTTGAATCAAGTCATTCAGACATAAATTAAAAAGTAAAATTTCTCAACAATGTGGGAGATTCACAGTCACATGGCTTGCACATGTTCACCTTGTGTTTCACTTTTGAACTACTGTAAGTGCACCTCAAAAATGCTGCAAAACATGGAATACCATATCCTTTAAAAAGACCTATTTTAACATAACTGTCATGGCTAACTGGGGTGAGCCTTGTGGAGCAAATAAATGAGGAGCCAAAAGCAGGCACTTGCTGAGATGCGAAGGAGTTTTATTGCAAAATAAAACACAAGGTGAAAATGGCAAAACGGAACTAAAGATAATGCATACTGGGGGAAACTAAACAGCAGGGCTATAGGAGTCTGGGTCAGTTGTAACGGCAACAGTCTGGGTTAATTGTAACAATAATGCAAATGTTACAACTTACACCACTATTACTTTAACTGTTTTCTTTGAATTGCAGTATGTCGAGGTCGTGGAAGAGAAAGACTGACCGAGGGGTGCCTCTCAGTATTTTGGAGAGAGCATCAAATGATGTTAGAAATCAGGGAAAGCCCAACAGATCTGTGGCAAAATTGTATGGCATTTGCAATGTCAGTTTGCACTGATTTTGTAAGGAGAGGAAGAAGCTGGAAGAGCAGGGATCAAGGGGACTCCCACAGTAGGATACCATGGTGGAAAGATGGTCTTCACTGATAAATAAGAGAAAGAATTAACATAATACGTGATGAGGGCTGCAGATGCATTTTATGGACCATCTCCACGTGAGGTAAGCAGATAGGAATTGATAAAGGATAAGGCAGGGGAAGGTTAGAAATTTGTAATAGTGACAATTTAAAATATAGTATATTAGAAATACAAACATATTTCGTGATTAAAATTACAGGTAAAAGAACTGACATATCAGCTTGCAGTGAAACATGGATGCAAATATCCAAAGTCATGGGACTAATTCTGGAGGGCTGGACCAGAATGGTTCTCAGCCTACATGAAAAGAAATCCAACTTTGTCCATTAGAAGTGCTGAGGCTACAAGTCTGGCACAGGCCACTAATTTTAATAAATACAATGTAGCAATGTTTTTCAAAAGATTTGATGAAGTTCTAAAGAGACACCTTAACTGCAAATGACATATGGAATACTGATGAGACTGGCATAACAACTGTGCAAACCCTAGCCAGAGTGATTGCAAAATGTGGCACTAAACAAGTTGGGGCAATGAAATCAGCAGAGAAAGGTTCACTGGTCATCTTTGTATATGTGGTTAATGCCATTGGCAACACAATTCCTCCAATGTTTGTGTTCCCACGAAGTGCCTGACCTGTACACTGTGGGCTCATGAGGACTGCACTGCAGGAGTGCCATACGTCTGTCACCACTGTGATTCTGATAGATTAGAAACTTGACACAAACACGCATAGTTCAGTTGATGAAGCTGGTGCACAACTACATTTTTTCAGCTTCATTGTTATGTTCAAAAGTTGGTGCAAGAGTTATAGGTTACAATGTCCACTGAGTCAACGAGGCCAAACTCAAAGAAGGCCAACCAAAATTAATGAAATATTCACTTGTTGAAAATTCCATAATTTGTCTTGTTGGAATATGTTCAAAAGCTCGATTTCTGCATTGTGTCACACGCACATAGCTACATAAATATTTATTTTCAGAGAAAATAGCAGAGACATGTAAATACTTTGCATTACATTTTGAATCCACTACCTTAAAAGAGCTCCAAGCTACAGACAGAAATGTCAAAAATGTTTACAATTTCCCCCGGTCTCCCCTACACTGACATAAGACATGGACCTTCAAAGTAAAACAGGAATCAAGAAAAAATTCACAAAGACGCAGACTTGACACTGAACTGAACCTACACTAAACACGAGGGCACAAAAGCAAACCTAAGAAATAAGCCCTTAACCAGAAAAAACTGAAACATAGATTTATAATATTCAAAACACGATAACTAAAGAATCAGAACATAAACAATAATACAGAAAAATACCTGAAAATGCTGGGTCAAAATGACCCAGATCCGTGATAATCTGTACACGTCTATCATCGTCATCATTTCGGAGATTATTCCTGATGATGTCACCCTAATATTGAACTTGAGCAACCGCTTATAAACTGTAAACCAATGCCATAAAAAACTTTTAATAATTACTTAATATGTGACTGTATGTTGTCATGGCATTTTTATAATATTGTGTGGTGCATCTATTTTAACTGTGTAAAGGGGATTTATGTAGTAAAAAACAACAACAAAAAAACCCAACAATATTTAAATTAACTGTCCCTGCTTTTTTTTTGTCATTTGTGATTTAAAGAACACCCTTTATATCTTCTTCCACTACTTCTAAAGCAAACAATAGCACCGGCAAATGGTAGATTTATTTTATGTCTCATTAATTACACATTACATAACTAAGTAAACCTTTACAGGTGATTCGTTTTTAAATGCCTTCCCTACTTTTCATATTCGATTACTAAATTTTATTCGGGCCATACTGCTTCTGTGAGTCAAGCTGAAGTGAATAGTGCCTTTTTAGAGGTCATATCAGTGCTGGCTCACATAACACAAACCCTGGCTAATCATTAACAGTGGCTTTTCAAAAGAACCTTCTCTTTTCATCCACAGTTGATAATAACAACCTTGTGATCCACCAATTTCAACAAATTACTCCTCAACACTCATCTTTTCAGACACACTTACTACAAGCAAGTGTGTGTCGGTTTAGAAATCAGTGCTTTTATCTCTTTGGTTCTTACGTCATTGCTTAAACTAATATTTACTTTTAAAGCTTCTTTCCTCCTGCACTATGAAGGTTAACCAGTACCTGCACTACTGCTTCTTAGCCCATATTTCTTTTGTAACACGGATTAGTGAGTGTCTAGTCATGACTCCAGCTATCAGATTTTTGCCTCTCCCTAATACTCTAATAGCTGTGGTGTCTGCCTGCCTGTGGCCGTTCACACAGAGGGAGTAAAGCGCTCCAACAGAGCGATTCAGCGTTGTGTTAAATTGCTGCCTTCAATTTGCGTTAGATTTATCTAAATCGCAATAAGAGCGTTAACCTTTACCTTCGTTAATAACAGCAGAGATATGTGAAATTGACAATGAGGGTGTGGAGAGCTTAAAAGCCAGATGAACAAACTAAAGAAATAAAGGAGTGACCTATCTATGGTTGTATCATCATCAGGCTACACACCCTTGAGCATTTTATGACCTTTCTGAAAGTCAGTACTAACTTAAATGCAACTAGAAATCGGACATAACAGTAGCTCTTTTACTATTGAGTCAAACCCACTTGTCAGTCTTTTGTATATGAATAAATACATTTACTTGTTCTGGGCAAAAGCTACTGTGTATCCCGAGCCTCACAAAGTAATAATTCAAAGCTGGATCACAGGATTATTTGTGTTCTATCTTCTGTTCTTAATATAGCTATTCGTAGCGTATACATATCAGTTAGAACTTTACACTTCCCTTTAAAATAAGTGATTTGTTGCCCGGACTGTGAGATTAATTCACTGTTATTATTTTTATTATTAGTTGTAGTAGTTGTGATACTAGTAAAAGTTTTTATTCAGCTTGAACCACTGCATGTATAACCCAAATCTTGTTTTCAAAATAAATCAAATAGTCAGTTTTGGAGTTCAGGCGTTCCAGTGAAAGATTGGCTCTGGGCGCACAAGCTTCCGTGATGTCCTTGAACCCAGCGCGGTCTTCCAGGGAGTGGCCCCAGCACCTGTCCGACCTGTTCTGGGGATATATGACGCCTGAGGAATTTCTCTCGCTGTCACGGTCCTTTGTTTAACGGGCTCTTTTTAGTGGGAGACAAGAGGGCGAGAGAGAGAGGGGGAAAGAGAAAGGGGGCAGACAGAAACAGGAGAGATGTCGGAACCAGCCGCCAACCCCGCTGTCAACCCCGCTGTCAACCCCGCTGCCACCTCGTTTCCAACGGCAACTATTACTTTACCTTTGGGACCGGGCGTGTTGAGGACCTATTCCGGAGCCCTCCTCTGTTTAGAAATAGTAAGTGTTGTTTTTATATTTAGAAAGGAGAGAGCGAACAAAAGGTGCACCTGTTGGTTTTATTCGTACATTTATCAGTGACCTCAATGTGTGTGTGTGTGTGTGTATATAGTCACTTTGTCTTTATTAATAATTGATGATTCTTGCAGTTAAAGTCCAGTTAGACATTTATTTGTAGAATTTTTTTCCTCCCATTTCTCTCCCTTTTTTCTTTCTCAGTGTCGTTGTCAGCGCTACGCACTGTGACTCTTCGTCACGGTGTTTCCTTACCAGCAGCTCTGTAACTCTGCTGGTCTACGAGCGTTATCTCCTTACGAACTATTTATGACTTTAAGACTTTAATAAGTGAGCAGATAACTTCTTGTTTGCATCTGCAGTGCCAGCAGTGAAATGCATCCTATAACTCGGCAAGGTGACCTCAACTCCACCTTTACATGCGTCCTCTGGTGGTTATTTTACTAATTGTCTGTCGCAGATACAGCCTTATTAAACGCTCCTTCAGTCTGCCAATTTTTTCTTGTGACTGATATCAAACTTTGCTAATGCTAAAGGTGTTTCTACTGAATAAAACTTGTCATTATCAACGCTAGTCTTTCTCCAGAATGAGTCATTGTAGCTATGGCAGTTTGACTTACATTCTGTTGCCGATCGGTATCCAAATGCTCCAAGCAGCAACAACATATGCATCCTCATAGTCTGCTTTAAAACTTGCTGTACCTTGAAAACAATAAAACTGATTGCTTTTGTCAAGAAACAAAACTGACTGTAGCCTCAGGGTGTGTTTCAAAAGAACATTACAATATCATTTAAATCACTTTTAAGAATGCACAGGCTGATGCAGTAGTATAAAATAATATGTTTTGCTGACTCGCTGCCCTCATGTTACCTCTAAAAGAAAATGGTCTAAGGAATTTGCACACTGTGACGCAAGTAGATGAGATAGTAGATAGAAGCAGGCTCATTCAAAGCAGCCTTGCTAATGCAGTGAAAAAAATATAGGAATAACTAGAGCTGGGCGATATGACCCAAAATTCATATCTCGATATTTTTTTAGCTGGATGGCGATATACGATATATATCTCGATATAATTTTTTTTAAGCCATATGGTAAGAACAAAAAGAGAGTTTAGTCAAAGCTGTGTCCCAGATGTCAATCAGGCACTTTTATTAACATACAGCACAGATGTACATGAAGAAATTACTCAAAAATAAATTATCAGCATTTATTAAATAATAATGCTCCATAAATAAAAGAACACAATGTTGTTTTTGTGCATAACAAAAAGCTCACAATTGTGCAGTCAAAATGTAAACTAAAAGACGCTGAGCATAATAACAAAGACAGACAGATTTCACAGCTGCTCTGTTCCCAACTTCTACAGCGTGACTGACAGCCTTGAGTTTGAAATCCTCTTTGTAACCGTGTCTCTTAACAGGTGCCATTTATGGTCCTTATACACACACACACACACACAATACGGTAATATTACGTTGAAGCACAGTACGTATTACTCCGCGATGCTCCATTACGGTAGCCGTAATGCTAATTTGCGGTAACTCGTTAACAGAGATTTGCCGTGTTCATCTTGTCGTTGCCTGCAGGTGAAGCTATGGGGGAGGGGGAGTTGTGCTCAGTGAAGGAGAGGCGAGGCCCAGTAACGCAGCGTAGAGACAAAAATGGACGAAAGAGGCAAACTTGCGGCTCCACAAGTATAATTATAACGTAACATAGACTATATCGATATAAACGATGTTGTCACATCTTATATCTCGTATGAAAATATATCGATATTTTTAAAAAACTCGATATATCGCCCAGCTCTAGGAATAACTGCGTCCGTCACTAATGCAGGTTCTTGTGTGTGTCCCCAGTTATTTGGTGGTCTAGTATGGATCCTGGTGGCGTCGTCCAATGTGCCGGTGCCCCTGCTGCAGGGGTGGGTGATGTTTGTGTCTGTAACCACCTTCGTTTTCTCCTCCGCCTACCTCGCTCTCCTCATCACTGGTTTGGCTGACCGCATCAATACTGACTGGAACTTCTTGGTAAGCTGTTGATAGATTAGTTTGTCAAGCTTCCTGTCTGTCATCTTCTTTTTCTTTCGGTTGGTCCCTTTTGGGGTCGCCACAAAAGATCACCTGCCTCCGCATCACCCAATTCCTAGCATCCTCTTTTAAACATGCCAACTTGCACATTCATTTTGAGCCCCCTCTATAATGCACTCAAATGAAATATTTAAATATTTACCAAGGTTTGGTGTGCGATAAGTAAATCAGAGAGGCTCTGACTCAATCTGGAAAAGCAGCAAAGTCACATATCATAAACTGCTATGAGATAGCAGACAGTGATCTGAAAGAACCTGTAAATGGAATAATTTAGTTTAAAAAGAAAGGCAAGCCAGTGGGTTAAATTTAACCACTGGTTAATGTGTGTTTGTGGCATGCGCACTGGAGATCTGTTTAAGTGGGAAAACTGCAATCCAGTCAGTTTTACTGCATAGACGGTATTTTAGCAAACTGGTGCATTGAAGTTTCTACATATCAAATAAAGACTCCCCTCTTAAAGTTGAGTCAGTAAACCTGTTTAGACAATTGCACATTGTTATATTACAATAGACTAACAGGGCTCTAGACTAACTTTTTGACATGGGCGCACCGGTACGCCTAACTTTAAAAATTTAGGCGTACCGGCACAAAAGTTAGGCGCACTCAAATTTTTCAACCGCATCGCTTAACACCGCAGTTTTACATGTGCACTTTCTTTGGGGGGGGAAGTCCATACAGACAATATTAATTTCTAAATTATTAACTAACAAACTTGTGCTTAAAGTGCTTTGTCAATATTGTAGAAAATGTTAAAAACTTAATCATCATCTTGGCCTCCTCTGACGACCTGTTTGCTGCTGTCTGCTGCTGAAAGGCCGTGGGGAGAGGGGACACTTGGGCAGTGCATTTACTGCAGCATATAATGTGTTTTCTGGATACACTGTGCTTTTTCAGCATTCAAAGGTTGATGACACCGTGTCAGAGCACTGGCTATGAATTTCAGACAGATCAGGCCTTAACTTAACAAAAAAGTTATCAATAGTTCTTTTCATCTTTTCTTATTACCCACAGCTACAGTACATCCACTTCTCTCAGGCCTAGGCTGCTCACTAGGGCTGAGTATCATCACTGATTTCTATAATCCATTCAATTCCGGTTCTCAAAGTCCTGATTTGATTCAATTTAGCCTCAGACAGTCAGAAATATTATAATTCTGATCATTTATCAGTACTGATACACATGAGACTTCATCAGAATTGTGAAAATCACAGCAGATGCCTTTGTGTGAAAGTAACTGAGAATAAAACACAGGAAAACATGAAGGAGATTTTCCTGGTCTGGCTTTTTATAGCAGATAACCTTAAAAATATTCTGCAATTTTGCATAATTTTAAGAAATTTAAATTTCTTCAGTATTGAACAGCAGAAATTAGGCTTTCTTGTCCGAGGTCATTTAAGTGAAAAAAGAAAAAGCGCTGTAAACAACGCTAGACTGGTGGGTAATAAGCGAATGAATAATGCAGAAAACAGATTTGAGACGGGAAACTGTTCCTGAAGTACAGAGAGAGAGAGAGAGCTGTGCAGGAAGTGTGATTTTTATCGTGGTGGAAGCAAAACAGCAAAAGTCAGAGGGAATTCATGACGACATTGATCAAATGTGAAGCGCAGTTTGCTGCTTCTTTTGCTGCTGGCTCGGTGAATTTTGGTTGGAGAGAGGCAAAACCTGCAGCTCAGAATCAGCGCAAAAAGACGTAAACACAGCGCGGACCCGAAGAATCGCTAAGCTCCGACAGCGTGTCCGTGTTCAGGCCGTCGGGTGAGAAAGCCGAGAAAGACGAAGCTGATTCTGATGTGTTGGGTCCGCTCCGTGTTTGGGTCTTTGTGTGGAATCCGTTAATGAATTGATATCGCTTTATTCAAGCTACTCACCTCTCTCTTCCACCTGCACTTTCAACTGGACCACGGCCAATCAGAGAGGTCCCGCCCCTGACTATCTCTGATTGGTTTAGTCCACGATAGGGGCATAATGTGTGTCTGTTGTTGACCACACGGAGAGTTACAGAGATTTTTTTTTTTGTTACCGGAACAGTTGGTCGCACCTGTGCGACCAAATATTTATTTTTAGTCGCACCACTGAAAAATTTGGTCGCATTTGCGACCAAATTGGTCGCACTCTAGAGCCCTGGACTAATATACGTATCACAGCTGTTGTCAGTTTTCTGTTTAGCTGGTTGAGCTAGCTGTTGAGTACAGTCTCCTTTATTGCATCTAAATTAATAGGCTTTGTCAGTGTGACTGCAGGTAAATTGTGTAATGTTCATTCGTTTGTTTTTGTTGTAGATATTCGGTCACATCTGTGAACTGTTCAAATCTTTTACATTTCTAGCACACTAGAGAACTTGGAAAATGACACAAGACATTATAGGGCTTTGAATCAATGACAAAAGGCAATGCAATGTTCACAAATGTATCATTTATTTACCCTGACTCTCGCAGGATTTATGGATTCCCTTGTTGGGTTATGCATCACTTTATATTTATACTGAGATAAGATAACTTCTTCATTTTACAATCACTCAATCGCTTTAAAGTGAAATGAGCAAAGCTTCAAGACATGTGACTGAAGATGCTACCCAAGACTGGATCAAAACATTGAGCATTCGAATTGAAGTAAAACATATAAATCACAGCAAAGGAAGCCAAAAAAAGTTTAATTAGTGCAATAACTATGTTATGATGTTTAAATATAAGTAAAAATGCCAGAAGTTGTGCCTTGTTCTTGTGTTGTGATTATAAAGGACTCATGTCTGTGTCCAGTCTGGGCTCTCAGACAGAGCCACGCTGGCCTGAGGCTCTGAGCCCCGCCCCAAGAGCGGCTTGTGGTGTTGTTTGTTTTCATCTGAACAATGAGTGACATGGATGATGAGCTCACACTAAAACACAACAAAGACCTGCCTGTAGATCCACGAGGCTCACCGAGTCGGCAGCACAAACTCTCATTAAACATCTTTACACTGCACTAGTTTAAATCACTTCTTGCGTCGTCTTGTATGCCTCTCTTTGTCAATATAATTTGATATATATTCCAAAGTGCAAGAGGCCACGGTGACTAGAACACTGTTGTGCAAGTTGGGCTTTTATTTATTCCCATGTACTGGCATAAGGACCGAGTAATGAAATCTAAGCTGTTCAACAATTTTATCAAAAAAAAGAAGAAAAAAAGAAAACTCTTGCCTGTAGTTGTTTATCCCTGAAAGCTAAAAGTGCATAATGTGTTTCCTCTTCTTTTTCTCAGGATCTTTTTTACCATTTCATAGCTCTCCTCTTCTACTTTGCCGCCTTTGTGTTGGAGGCAGCAACAACAGCAGCTGCCATCAAGATTCTACCAAACCAAACCGTATGCATATTGAAACCTCGCGGCAATATTTTGACATTCCTGGATGGCAGGCAGTACAGTATTAATGTGGTAGCCACGGTAAGTCCTGTATATGTTGTCACATTCAGTCTCTGATATTGCAAGTGTTGTTGAAAAATTAAAAAAATGTAATTTAGTGCTGTCAATAGATTAACTAATTAATCGCACAATTTTCTGTAATTAATCGCAATTACCTGATCAATAGCCTAATTGCAATTAACTTTATATTTAAGCTTGTAACTGACATTTATGCAACATAATGAAGTAAATGCAGAATAAACACAAAGACTTTTGGGGAGGACCTTCAAGTCCTTGACACGAGGAACCAAAGCTATGTAAAGCGTGTGTTCTCAACAATTTTAATAGGTCTGAGGTTTGTTGCAATCCACTTGGCAATTGCGTCAGTCAATATGTCCGAGGTAGACTTACTGAGTCCCCGATGCTCCGTGAGTGGTTTGTTGCAGCTGGGTGACGCATTAGCCAAAGTGCTAGCAGCATCCACGACTAACATATGCTTCGCGTCAATGTGACATTTTAAGCTGGAAGTGCTTCGGTGAAAAGAAAATTCCTTCCTGCACAATGTGCATAATACTTTGTGTCGGTCGACTGTTCCGTCTTGTTATTTTTTAATACTCAAATTTCCCATCGAGAGGGCCAGTGTGCGTTTATCACCTTCAGCTACCCATCACTACCAGATCAACTGCCCATTTGCGCATGTGCGAAGGTAACTCTGCTTGGACAAACTGCCCGACAAATGCATTGACAGAAACACTTAAGGGATTTTGAGTCATCCTGCACTCCAGATGCGTTAATTGCGATAAAAATTTTAATCGTGTTGACCGTGATGGCGGATTAATTTGTGTTAATGCGGTAATTTTGACAGCACTAGTTATAATATAGTTGCACGACTGCCAGCAACAGTACATGTGGTTTTACAGAAGGTCCATTCATTATAATTACCCCTTGCTGCTTTGGTTTTGGACATAGACTGTATATAAAAGACGAACATTCTTAAGTCAGTCGCTTTCTAATGGCCAGCAGGGGGGAATTCCTCTGGTTTCACATAGATGCCTGTCTGTATAGAAGTCTGTAGGAAGTGGTCCTCAGCCCCTTTGATCTGCCACCTTATGACCTTGTGGTCCCATTAGGCTTGAAAAGCAGGATAAAGACACTAGCCTGTCATCATGCCGTGTTTCCTTGCTCACCATGTCTGGGTTCAAAACCTCAGTACAACAACAGAGAAAATGCTCAGTTTGAGGCTTCTCAACACTTCTTCACTAACCAGTGAGTGCTGTCATGGTGACTTTGTCCACCTTTTACATACAGTCTGTGGTTTGCATTTAGATTTTTGCATACAGCTCTTGGTAACGTGAAAGCATGTGTCATGTTTTATAAAGAGAAAAGAGCATCTGTTGTGCCCAGCTTTTAGCTGGAACTGCCAGGCTATAATATTTGGCCTGGTAGTTCCATAATGGCCATAATGTTGGTTAACCCCCTTTCTTCTCTGTCCCAGATATTTGCCTTTGTGGTGACACTATGCTATGGCTGCAGTATGGTGATGGGCTTCAAGAGGTGGAGGAAGTAACTGCGAAAATGGACACAACTTGATTTTCCAACTTCCTGCTTCATAACTTCGACATGTATTAAAACATGAGCCACATTGTGCAGTGCTCCTTAGAGAGCTCTGCTACTGAGTTCGGCAAAGCGCACACTGTTATTTCCTATTACGACGCTCTTGTCAGAAAGTGATCACCACATCAAAGCTACGGTGGAAAAATATAGATGACGAAATTCTCAGCCTCAGACAAAACATCTGGCAAGATGTCTGGATGTTAATGTTTCTGCAGTAATTTATTTTGAGATATCGAAATCACGAAATTCACGTAAATTCACACAGGGCTGATAAAGGTATTTTGAGGACATGGATAAAGAACAGTACTTATAGGGCTCGTTATCAGCGTATAGATTTGATTTATTAACCGAGAGTTTTGCAACTTTTGATGCTAATCACTCAAAATTGATGTGGGAAGATAAGGAACGCTGTGAGTGGTTATATTGCACAGGACTGTGAAACTAGTGAGGGTCATTAAAATAATTCAAATGATGCTCGAGTTTTGTTTTCCTCCCTGCTACGTTAAGCAAACAGATAATGTCCCAGTTTCTAAATCACTGCTTCACTGGAAGAAACAATTCCCATTTTTAGTTCCATTACAAATATTAGATTAGATTACTTTGATGGCACAATATGTTTCACAGACTACAAACAGCGGGCATATTCTTAATCCCAGTGTCGCTGACATACCTTGGTGCTAAGGCGCTGTGAACTCTGATTTTAACACTGCTGTCATGAAATGTTCATGTGGCTTAAAATGAAGGTGGATCTGGTGTTTGAATGTCCTAATATTTTTGATTGAATGTTTTTCAAAATATTGTAACCTACTGCAGACTTGGTCATTACTGGTAATGTAGCTGACTTCAGTGACTTACAGATAAATAAAATCAATAATTTAACCTGTTCATTAATTTTTGTTAAAAAGTATATTTTAAATAGAATGTTTTAATATTTGACCTTAATACTTAATTGTGTTGATGCCTTATTAAACCACTTAAATGAATAACTATCTTACTCGGTACGTGATTTATGATTTGTTTTTGCTGCATACTTTTGTTTGTGTTAGGTAACTGGAACATATTGTTAATTTAAAATAGTGTTAAATTAATATGTTTTTGATTGTTTGATATTTTAAATGCATTTTAGAGCAACAAATAAAAGTCGTAAATTAAAAAAATAAAACTAACTTGTCTGTCACAGTCAACAGTTTGTTTGTTTTTGGGGGTTTTTAATATTGTAATTAAGAGTTGCCAAAGTCAGAACATTTTAAATTACAGTGCAGGGTTTTATGAACGCACGAGTCTTGTTGCTGGGAGTTTCAGTTATCATGTATAAGCTGGTTTTGACTCTTTTCAACTGTATGAAACCCTCCAAGTCCTCACTCTGACAGTTGGAGTTCTGTCTCCATCTTTTCCATCTATATATTTTAGCAAAATGTTTCTCAGTCTAAAATAACGAGGCTTTATTGTATTTACAACCTACACAAAAATGTCCCTGCTTGTGTAAAATCCTAATCAGTAGAGCTAATTGTGATGTGATTATTAGCGGATATTTTTATTTTATTTCGTAATATTACATTTCCAGTTCCAGTTACCTTAGATACAAGTATATTTAAAAAGAAATTCAATTCTACATAATAGAACATTATTAAAAGTCATTTAGCCTTACAGGTGTTAACGTTGGGTAAATACAACCTCAGATGAACAAAACATGACATGTCACAGTGTTCCATTAATTATTTAACAAAAACTAAGTCAAAATACAAAAGCAATTTGTAGAGAAAAAAAGCTCCCTTCATCCAATAGCTATTACTGTTCACCTAATAGGTTTCTGTATGACTTTATCAGTCTCTCACATTGTTGTAGAGCAATTTGACCCACTCTGAAATTGCTGGCATATCCACTCTTGAGAACATTGTGGTATCACGTTAACACACATCCAGACCAGTAAACTGACATAACCTTTGCTTTTACAGAGGTTCCCACACTTGCAGCACTTGGCTGTTAGTTTCCTATTAATTCCTATGGAAGCAGTAACAAAATTTTTCTACACACTGCTTCTGCATTTTTAGCTTAGTTTTAGCTGAATAAATAATGACACACTGTAATATGTTGTAATATGTGTTTTTGTTCATCAGAGGCTGCATTTGCCTAATTTTAAGATCTGGTATGGATCAGATGACTTTTATTATGACCTGATATGCAAAACATTATAACTGAAAGGGTGTACTTTCCTTTGCAAGTCATTGTCCTGTATCTGTTTGAGATGAATTATTTCACAGGGCTTACTGGATCTTACAAAGTGTTGCTATAGTATATTTTTTCTAATACATAGTTATACATATTTGATTTCACTGTTACTCTACTACTACAGGATGCATATATAAGTCCTCTATGTTTCGAAATGTATCAGCTTTTGTGTTGAGAATGATTATGAACTTTTCAAGATGTATTGAATAAAAAGTATGAGTGCGAGTAAACTGCAATTTCTGCATGGAAATACAGCATATTCAGCATATTTCCCTCCTGGATTAATAAAGTCCCTTGCGGCGATTTTATCTTGTGATTTTTATTTCGACCACTAGATGTCGTGCTTTGCTAATAAAACTGTTGTGATTTGTTGCGTCACTTTTCTAAATTAACATATCCTAAACTATGTTCAGTTTAAATAGCAACTGAATTTGCACCAACAAGAATGTATGATGATGTATTTTTGAAATAATTTGCTTTATCACTGCGGTCTCAATATTTTCGAAGTCAAACTACATTTATAGGAAATAAAACATTTTTGAAACACGTTTCTGATTCATTGAAATAACACGTTCAGTCGTTGTTTCTGTGCTATTTGAACTAAAAATTAAACAAACAAACAAACAAAATCAGACTTGCTTAAGGATACGCTAGACGTCACTTGTAAACGTGCGTTACTTCACCTGCACATCTGCAGCAGCCTAAACCGGAAGTAACAAGACTCCTTCGTAGGTACTTCACAATAAAAACCAAAAATAAAAACCTTGAGCTACCACCAGGTCGTAGTATTCAATTTTAAATTATGTTCGATTGGTTATTTGTGTCTATTAATGATATAATTACAACGCCGAACAAGCTATGACCTTAGATCCTCCAGTAAGTTGATGCTTTATTTTGATGACAAACAGGCGATCGGAAGTGCACTTTTTGTATCTTTCGGCTAGGCTTGACGGCTCGTTACTGCTTTTTCTCCCTCTCAGTGTTATGAAGTAAGGGCAAACCTCGGGTGTCGATATTAAAGCTACCTGTCAAGCTGCGGAATAACGTTATCAGCTGAACATCGTGGATTTTATGCGTTTCGATTGGCAGACTTCCAAACAGTATCTTGGCGCTTCAGTTATGGATATGAGCGGGGCGGCGTGGAGGGGAGAGGGGGATTTAAATTTCTTTTCGTCCCGACAGCTTCTTTTGATTTGAAGTAGTTACGGTGCACCTCAGCAGAATAAAACGGCCACTGTTTCCTCGCGATAAAAGTTACTAGAGCAGTCGACGTTATTTCTCGCGGGTTTCCTTGATTTTTTTTACGAATCAGTTTTAGGGTTGTGTAGAGTTTGTGTTTTTCGTGGAGAGCGGAGGAGGTGAAGTGAAAACGGCTCTCGGAGTCGGGACTGACCGCTGGAGTTGGTCCTGAAAAATGGAGGCTGTTATCGAGAAGGAATGCAGCGCGCTCGGAGGACTCTTTCAAACTGTTATCGGAGACATGAAAGTAAGCCTTTTAAACTTTACACTATCACTTAATTTACCAAAGAGCCACATCCAAAACATAACTAGCTACTTGACTCTCCTAACAGCAGCCTGGTAACTGGTAAACGAGAGCCGTGGTTGGTTAGCTAAGTTTAAACTTACACTTAGAGCCAGGCTTTTGATCTCAGCTTAAAATCAACCCTAACCTCTTGTATGCATTTATACGAATAGAAAAATGATTTTCACTTGATGGTTATCAGCTTGTGTGGCCATAATGTAAATTGCCCTGCTTCTTTTGTTTTGCTTTTTTGCGGTATGTGTTTTGTTACGTTTCAATGCAGTCTTCTTATTTGCTCCAGTTTGAAGCAGATGTAGTGACCAACATTAAAGGCTAACTGGGGCAGTCACAAAACTAGGGCGTCTTGTTTTGATGTTATTTTTTGACAGAGCTTGGCTGATGAGACAATTAGCTGATTCCCCAGCTGTTGTGTTTGCCTAATGGAATGCCCGGGGACCTAGCTGTCAGTGTAGAAACCTACCCACAGGGTCTGAAGGCTCTGACATGGCCTGCCTGATGGAGTCAGAAAGTTTGTTATGAGACCTTCTTCACGCCTCACTCCCTGCTCCAATGAATTTTTTTTTTTTTTTTGGTTGTCAGGCCACTCTGCTTGCAAGGTAGTGCCAATAAAAAATGTGCAAATGCACGTAGTAATCTAAACAAAAAAGATTCAAATTCCCATTGTCTTTTATGGCACAGCTGATGAAGATATGCCTGCCTACTGTAACCTTTCACAGTATGTAAGCCTAATCTGTTAAGGAGTGATGGCAGGATAGGGTAGATGCAGGGGAAGCTCATTCGTCTTGGTGATGTTTAGAGAGAGAGAGTCAACAGGAGGTTTGCAGAGGGGACCAGGATGACACGATGAGAGAAGATGGGCAGAGGTGATGTAAGGGTGACTGCATTATTCAAAGAATGATAGAGACCATCCCTAGTCTCTACTACCAGGAGTAGTAGAGACTAGGGATGGTGTTTGGGTGTAAAGTTTGACAGCATAACATAACATTCCTCAGGCCTCTGACAGTAGTAACACATTAATGGCAAACATGTGCTCATGCTATAGTCATCATTTTATCTTGTGCTCCCTTACTAGCTCCTCTTGACGATGGATTAGGCCACTTGGTCTCTTTAATGGTTTTGATAAAAGACTCTTCAGCTATTTTCAGCCCGGGACCTGAATTAGGAAACATTTAAAGCCCCCCTATTGGGAACCAGGCTCATTATATCATAGTATTAGAGCTAAAAGACATCTCTGACCCATTTTGAAATCTAACACGCGCAGGACGTCGTTGAGCCCATTCCTGTTTTTCAGTTAAATGTGTCTGTGCAGGAAATATTGAACAAAACATGGGTGAAATGAAAGCCAGATTTTTGGGAGAGCCAATGATTTTCATTTGCATACCACTGATTGATTCATTTTTAGCTTTAATTTATTTCCAGAAACCCTCAGGTCTGCTGTTGATAAGGTGGAAAAACGTGTTATTTTGGGGTTTGGTTGCATAGGGAAGCCTAAACCTTGGTTTAGATTTGTTTAGCCCTGCAGGTGAGGTGAGGCATCAGTATGACCTTTATCGGTTTAATTCTTATGCAACTGTGGGAAAAGTGAAATCTGATCATGTCATGAGATCTTGTCAGTCAGTCATGATTGAGTCTTTTTTTCTTTTTTTACTTCCACAGAGCAGCTACCCTATTTGGGAGGACTTTATCACCAAGGCAGGCAAACTGCAGTCGCAGCTCAGGTGAGAGCATGTTTTTGTGCATGTGTATGTGTGTTTTTATGTCTTTTACTCATAGAGGTAGATATTGCATAACCTAATAGATGGGGGCATTATCATTCTCGAGACTAATCACAACAGGTTATAAATTTTTACAGGCTAAAGGAGATTACTTGCACATGAACATCTTTGTATTGCTGTGACCATTTCCTCTAAATGGACAAGAGGAACTAGCACAGCAGACCCACTGGATCCCCTTGTTATGGTGGTCTAAGGGTTTGGGTTTTTCCTCAAATTTGTTACCTGTCTGTGTCATTCTCTGAAGCTTCCATGTCACAAGCTTAATCACCAACACATGAAAACGTGACATGTGCAGTTTAATGATAAGACTGTAGCCTTTTCTTTTTCAAAATTGCGAGGTTTAACAGGTGCATATTTTCATCTGTGTGCTGAATGTGACAAACAAATGGAGAATAACACCGTATTCACAAGGGGATGATAAAATAAACATAATATATACGAAAATCTAAAGATTCGGGGTTTACAATCTTTTTTTAACAACAAGTACATCACTAATCGTTGCATTTGTGATGACGTTTGAGCAAATTCAGATAGGTGGGATAATAAACACAGGGCTGATTAACTAAAACAACACATTATTTAGTCTAATAATAATAATATCTCATGCACGCCAATGGCACAATTAAGTGAATAAATACATATATCCTGGTTTTTGCCTTCATCACTTACACAGCTGATGATTCGCTTGCAAAATATGGGGTATTGAAGAATTGCTCTATAGCAATATCAGTCTCTAACATGTATGTGTCATGGGATAGACTCCCAAATCACTATTGCGTAACTTCTATGGTACCTCACGAATGAGCAATGGAATTTACACAAACGTCTCATCCATTAGCAATACTGCACAGGGGTCTTTTACATTTCCCTCTTCATCATTTTACCGTCTTTAGGACATTCCTCTGTTGTACAGTTACACACCTTTTGCCGTTATTATTCCAAGTCGTCCTCTAACAATGGATGCCAATCCCAGCCACCTCTCCTAGTAGTTTTTAAGTGGGCACGTGTCACCAGTCCAATAACTTATGACAGCTGAAATAAAAGCTCATTGTCCATTGGGTTCTGCAAACACAAGTGTCCTGTGGTTTCAATTATTCTTTGATTAACAGTGCATGGCATTTTTCTTTCCATTTAAGTGTCCACGTGTCCTCAAACAGACTAACAGGGACAGCTGTATAAAGGCTCAGTGACTTAACAATTCTTTCCAAGAGGAATTCCATGTCCTCTTTGTCCATTTTCTCACTATTAGGGCTGATTAATGGTGATATGTTATTCAAGCGTCTCCATCATTCAGGGGTTAAATATGTGACCCTGGCATGCTAAGGCTCAGGGGAGTATTTGTGACCTCTTTGCTAATGACTGGTTGTTTAGCAGAACAGTGTTTGTGTGTCTGGGTCTCCGAACATTGGTAAAAGTACAAACCTGCTGATTTTGACTTGGGGTGGGGTTTACACTAGTGAGTTTACACTAGGATCTTTTTATTTAGTCTCAGTACACTAGTGGTAGCTGGATGATTGTTTGCCTTCTTCGTGGCATGTAATGTATAGTCATTGTGTCAGTTGGACAGCTCTGTGAGGATGAGCCAGTTGATGCTCTCAGAAAACATTTCATCCTTCACAGGATCATTTTAGACTTAATGTTCCTGATTAATCTTGGCCTACACCCGCTACAGTCTGCAGTGGTTGTTGCATATGGGTGCCTTTAATGATGCCCTTGCTGCTGGATCACTAATAAGTGCAGGATTGCTCATGGTGACCTACAAATAAGACTAATTCTTTTGCCTTTAAAGCCTCTCTCAAGCCATTACAAATGCAAAAATAGCCCCTTTGACTACATCACAACCCCCAACCCACAGTCCTCTGTAATCTGTTTGGGGAGTGGACTACATAGAGGGGCGCACATACACACAAACGCATATGCAGAGTACGACACAAACACACCCACCTTCCCTCCTTGGCCTGGATAAGTGACTAGCCAGCGGTGTTAGCGGCATATGTCTGTGTGTGTAATGATGCCCTAAGGCAGACTACTCTGTAATTTAGCCCCTCTGCCCCCCTCTCCCCTACGAAGTAACTAGGAAATCAACCAATTACAGTGTTCGGGTAGTTCTGTCATTTTTTTCCCTCTGCTCTTTGTGGTTCTAAAGAGTTTCACACACACACACACACACACACACACGCACAAATATATACACATGTGTTTGCGTATAGAACAGAGCTTTGAAGAAG